GAGGGCCGCCGAGAGATGGAGTGTACCCGAACAGGCTATCAGATGACCCCGATAGGAGCAGAGGGCCCTGAGTTCAAACACCAAAAACCAATGTGCAGACCCCCGAGCAAACCAGTGTGGCCGAAGAGGCGAACAAAGTGGGCCCCCGACAAGGGTGTTGGGCCCCATTCAAATAGCACGTGCCCAAGGCCCAATGTAGAGGGCCCCCAAACGAATGAATGTGCCCGAGCGGGTTGTCGGATAGCCGCCCTCCCCCCTCCAAAGCGTAGGGCCCCCCACCAAGAAAAAAGTACCCAAAACCCAGTGTGAAGGGTCCCCGAACGACTGGTGTGCCCAAGCAGGCCATCAGATGGGCCCCCGACAAGGGTGCAGGGCAAGTGGCAGAGAACTGGAAAAGGCCTAGACCAATGTAGAGGACACATGAGTATATCGCAAGTGTGTCGGTAGATTAACCGAGAGCCACGTAAAGGGCCCCTGAGCAACTGAGAATACGCCGGCAGGTTAAGATATGGGACCCCGGCTATAGCCCACAGAGTTTTTTCCGGCGAATGGAAAGAATCCGTGGAAGTGCCCGCGATTGACAAGAGTGACCCAGCCCGTTAACAGGAAGGGCCCCAACAACAGCGCAGAGCCCTCCGAGCAAATGCAAAGAAATAAAGGGCAACGTGGAATGCTCATTAACGATCGATATTATCCTGCAAGAGGGCATATAGGTCCCCGGAAAGGGCATGGGGCCCCTATACAGTGTAGTGAGGCTTAAGATTTCCAGTTCACAACTTTTTCAGTCAGTGAATAATTTTTTGACTTCTCAAAGGCCCTTCACTTCCGCTTATTACTGTTCTTGGTCGCCTGAAAGCCCAGAGATACCCAGTTTTGTTGCGTTTTGTGTTAAAAACTGCACCTGTTCGGCCGGCCATCGGCCCCTTCGAAGCCAACGGGCTCCTTCGGGGCCCAAGGGAGGCATGGCCCCGTAGCCCCCCCCCCCCATTTGGATCCGCCCCTGTGGGAGACAACCTGTGCTGGAAAGGACGTTTTGAACTGCAAGATTTGTTAAAAAAAGATCTGCAGGCAGAATGGGAAAACACACCTTAAAATGAATTCCACATAAAGAACGGGGCAAAAATCATGCTTTCCGTCA